AACTGGCTTTGAACTTGGTAGAAGATGTTCTTTGTATGTCTTGAGGATTCACAGAGAGAACACTGAAGGGTGAGGATGATAATGATGAAAGCTATATGGGAATGGTGACTCGATAAAGGGAAGTCATGATGGATATTATACTCATCCATTGCCCACAAGAGTCGCAAATGGACAGGCACAAACACTCACGTCAAATCTCCAAATGCCTTATTCTAAACTAAGCCATGGAATCCATTCAACCTCAGAGGCTTCGGGACCAGTGAACAAGTAACACCGGTACGCCTTGCGCTGTGGAATTTCCATGACGGCCATACCCACAGGACGATTGGGTGTTTGAGGATCTGATATGGGAGCATAGTGCTCTCAGATGGTACAAAGACGACATCGACGGTCGTTGGCAGTGTAGTCCCGGTGAAGTGTCTCCACTCCTGGGCTCTGCCACTTGCTCAAGGCAAGGACTCATACTAACGAGCGGCCTGTCCGTCATTCCATGGAAAACAGTTTGTTCGAATCCACCAGATTGGACAACCATTGGTGATCGTTGAGCCGTCGTTAGGCTTATGGAACAGTTCTCGGTCAGTGTAATGAAATCCCAGGCGACGCAAGTAAAAAGCAACGTAGAGACGATTGTGTGCCGGCGTAGAGCCCGTACACAACGAGCAGCCGTAACAAATTCCGGTGGTAAGGTAAGAGATGCCGAGCCGACTTGCCCCAAAAAGTAAGGTATATTGGTAACTTCCAGAGCCAGACTGCCGGTCTCGAGAGGAAATCCCTTCACGCCTGAATCTGAAGAGTAGACAGTCTCTTGTCCTCGACATCCCTGCCGGCTCACTTGTCGGTGTTGCCGGCGTGGGGTCGGATTGACGTCGGCGGAAGTGATGTGATGAAGTTCTTGGCTTTGTAGTCGAAACAAAAGAAACAAAACCTGGTTTTATTCAGTCAACGACGTTAATTCAATCTTTTCTTTTTGGACTGGGTAAGGGAAGCCTTGGAGATGCAGACCTCTACCCCCACCCCCGTGACCGTGAGCGACGGCATGCGGCTCTGCATACCGACACGTGGGAAAGTACACTCGTACTGCATGTGTAGGTACATACCGCATTCAGCTTAGGTCTAGACCTTGCATACATGTGAATAATACATCTATTTCAGAAACAGACTGAATACAATACAGGACGTTACATACCTTGGCTCAGCTGTGTCAAAAGTTTCGTGCGGCCTTCCGTCATCCAGTCAACGGCGCAAAGGCCCTGGCGGTGGTGCCATGACATCTCGTTCGCCCTTTCTGCCTTGAGGTAAGTGAGTGCAGAATCTGCACTTTTCTCCTAGACTCTTCAACACTGCCACGAGCTTCCCATTGCCCGCCATCATCATTCTATACGTCCGAATCGTCCATCCTCACCGACCAAATTTCTCGATTTCATCATAACCCTGCCGTGCCACCGGCACACCACTCCTGACGCGAGCGCGTCAATTCTGCGAATTGCTCGTTTCGCTTTTCCTCCGTTGGCAGATGACCGCCTGCAATACCCAACCTGCGCATGTAACCAGAGGGCAGTGCTGACCGGACCTACCACCTGCCCAGACAGTGAGCCCGGCTCCAGCGCAACCATACTCCTTCCTGCTAATACCAGCCACAACCGCACACTTCTGCCTTACTTGAACGTTACTTCCCCCTCTTCGCCCATTACCCTCCGACCAGCGCTGCATTCCGCCGACTCAATAGTGAGCGAGCAGAGGTACAAATTGCGGCTCCGCGGGTAACTCTGTGACTCTCCGGCTCCGTGACGACAAAGATTCAGTTATTGGAGGGTATCGACCGTAAAGAACATACCGGGATCAAAGAATGGCTACTGTAGCACCAACAAATGACACCCCATGTCTTCGGATGACTTTCAACTGCCTCATGGAAGCCATGCGGGCTGCCCATCATTTGAGCAAAAGAGGCATACATGCCCTCGCACTACCATGGAAGACTGTCTTCTGTGATATTCTCGACGAACATTGTGGATAAGGCATATGCCGGCTAGGGCCTTGCCCTCAAATCGGATACCTCTTGTGTCATGGTCGGACTCGAATTGCGACAAGGAAAGATCAAGTGACCATAACGGACGTCGGCCCCGACACTTCGTCTCGATTGAACAGGTCAGGCCGCGGTAATTGAGCGCATGTCGATGGTACCCATTCGTTGGGTGTTGGACTTCACCCCATGTCTCATACTCTCTATGCTTATAAGCGGAAGGACACTTGATAAGAAATAGTCTGCGAAGAGAACAAGGCAAACAAATGGTGAGTTTTCTGCGACAAAAAAGGGAGAAACTGACCACAACAGATGAATGGTTTCGTTTACCTAATCGGTTGGTCCATACTCGCTGCTTCGGGTCGTGACCACAGATGACGAGTGGTTTCAATGACAGACCCTGGTTGAGGGCAAGAAGCTACCCCGATGAGAGAGCAGTTGTGGAAGGAAATGAGGAAGAGACGACAAGTAGTTGAGTTTCATACTTGCATCCTAAAGAATCCCTTAGCCACGACTTGAGACGGAAATTCGGCGCAGGCATAATTCCTTGTCACAGTAAACCGCTTCATGGACCAACTTACTTGTTGTCGACGAACAGATCGACCGGACATTCAGGCCTGAAGTAAGATTACGGTATAATCAACGGGAGGCAAGCAATCCCAGCTTGGACTGGCTTCAGGTAAGCTATTTCCTTCTGACTTTTCGTTTTTCGGCAAGATGACCCTGTTCGAGCCCCGAATGTGGCTACTAAGTCTTTTTAGTAGATGGTTCTCGATGGCAAGGTGAACAACTTACCTTGGGAGGTACAGTAAGAGTCGAAAAATACTGTCACCCCTTAGTCTATTAGATGTGTGGCGGTGGGCGACTGTATTTCTTATGATTATGAGTTTATTTCCTTTCTAGTTGTCGAGATTCTGCTGTCCCAAAGGTCACCCTTGCTATGACCCAACTTTCAATTTTATACATTATGAGGCTCTTTCTCAATTTGAGGCTCTGCGGAAAGTGCCTGATTTCCATGTTGCCTCGGGCATAAGATCTCATGTTTTCTCTCATGATCTGAAGACAATCATATGGAGCCACTTACAAAACAGCCTAGAGCTGCAACTACTGCCCCCCTTTCAACACATGTTACCCCATTCGGTAGCGCGGCGACCAAAGGGGATGTTGTATACTGAAACATGTCGAAGACATGGGGCTCTCCTAGACCTCAATGAGGGCCATGAAGAAAATATATGGCCGTTCTGTTCAACATTATAACCGACACTCGAAGGAATACCGAAATCTCGACAGGTAATGGGTAAGGCGTCAGGTCAAAGACCATATGGACTTCATCTTGCCACAGGACTCTCGATAACCACTGGCTGGATGCTGCCTTGACGAGTATACATTCGACGAATTTCACCGCTGGGTTGCAATGACTCTCAGCAGCTCCCTGGTGAATTCGGTAACAACACGGAGCCGCGCGTCTCGCGGGGAACTAATGATTACATGATAAACAGAAGCTTTGACACCTTGTCCAGACTGCCCAGTGCATAATGTTGGATTGGCCTTTGAAGACGAACGGATGGTCCGTGTTCTCACGTTTCCTCCCGTTGGTCATCAGAACTAAAGTAGTTTTGCCAAAATGTTCGGTTAAGAAGTTGCTAACTCTCTTCATCGCTTTAGCCGAGTTACTATTCTCAATGAATGGTTACAAACCACTACTCTTGCCAAGCCGAGCCCGAACTCATTGAGTGGATTCGGGATGTTGGCTAAACTTGGTCATCTTCGACCATTAGGGCCAAACGCATGTTACCTTCAAAGGTCTTGAATAGAGCTTCAACTTTACAAGCCGTCTAAACACCAACTTAACATCTGTATCCACCTAGGTATGTCGAGGATTCAGGTTGCTGTTGCGAGCCAACCTCCTAAATTGTTTTCAACCTAAGACATACCACCCGTAACAGTTGGTGTCTGCCTACGCTGAGGCCCTGGCAGAACCAACAGCCACGATGCCTTGTAGATGCCAATTTTGCAATTGGGCCATGGCAGCTCTTTACTCTCATTATCTGGTGCGTTGATATTGGCCGGAATGCTTAACTGTAAACGGCACTTCAGTTGTTGTTCCATGAGCATGCCGGGCGTTGTTACGCTAATTACCACCGTTATCCCTTGGACTCACTCAATGGATCAGTGCACACTTGTGATTCTGTGAATCTCAAGAGTACTTCCTCTCCGTTTTCTTCAACATGAAGTAAACCTACCTAGTCGTTACTGACATGAAGTGGAAGGTCATGCTCGCTGTAGGTGATGGCGCTGAAGCTAAGTAACTAATACATAGAGGTAGGTGTAGGTAAGGTACCTTAACTTACCATTTCCGGTTTGGGCCCCCAGTGCCCTCAATCTGCGACCAACGGTGTGGGTCCCCGGCTCTTGCGCAGGCACTGGACGGGCCCCTACGGGGCTGATCTCCCCGCTGCGGCCAGGGGCCAGGGCAGGTTTCCAAACCGGTTCCAACAGATGTGCGTTGAAAGACTGGATGATCCAATGTCTTGCATTGTCCAACCGAAGCAAACCTCCGATCTAACTTATGGCATTTCATCTTTGAGCGCATCCTTGGACGCCGTCGCGAGATCTGTCCAGACCAACGGCAGCGACCAACATACGGCGTCGTAACTAAACGCTGCGGTCCCCTCCGAACGACGGCGATTCTCATATGAGCAGGCGGTATTCCACTTGCCTCCTGAAATATCGCCCTCCGTCCGCTTTCTGTCATCCCGCCGCGCCAACTCCTCCTGCCGACCGACCATTGCGATTGACACCTTTCATTCCACATCATCAGCAGCCTGATGCACTAGCCTGCGTATAAGCGAATAAACGCCCCAACCCGTACCTCGTTCGTCCGAAGCGCCACCGACGACCCTGATCGCTGACTTTCGACCCATATATCCCATTGCGCTACGACAACACCACATTCCATGCCTCGAGGGTTGGGGACGAAATGAGTTCCGTTCGAGCGCGCCGGTCCGAGACGAGATGGGTGACGCGATTTATGCCTGTTTTTCTAGCCGTCTGTTTCGGTCTGACAACATACACCACGGCCAAGAGAGTCTGCGGTACGTCCCTGGTTGTTTTCCCCAATCTCCAACTTCCACTTCAACAACTGCTCTCTGTCCCCGTGTGATGTCACCCAGCATGTTCCCTCCCCGACAGATGTGGAGCTCCTGCAAGTCCGTCTGACGCGGAGCTTTTCCACTGACCGGAACCCTTTCACAGTGGATCACTTCCTCCATAGGAGTCAACAACCCAGCGCTGCGATCGCATTCCTCGTCTTCTACCTCGTCACTTTCACGTTCATGCTTTTGACCTATATACGATTATTCCTGGTTATTCAACTAAACCCCGGCGTTGTTCCCCTCGGGCAGCGAGCGATATGGCGGTTGGAAAAAGAAGAAAAAGAGAAACCAAGTTGGCGACGGCACAAGCATAAACAGACCGGCGATATAGAGGCCAACGCCTACAGTAATGTCGGGCCAGACGATGACCCTGATAGCCCTGGGCTCGAGTCCTTTTACAGCAAAGACGTTTTTCTCTGCGAATCAGACGGAAAGCCGCGATGGTGTCACAGTTGTTGCACCTGGAAGCCAGACAGGGCGCATCACTGCAGTGAAATCGATCGATGCGTCAAGAAGATGGATCACTATTGCCCGTGGGTTGGGGGAATCGTGGGTGAGACGTGTAAGTGGAAAGAAATCATCGATGTATCTGATGGCGGACTCGGCTAATTCTGGTGCGCAGCGTTTAAGTACTTCATCCAGTTCACGTTTTACGCATCGCTTTGCTCCATAGTAGTTATCACTGCTTGCGCTGTTTGCACGAGACAACGACTTCATACCGGTCACGGCCTTGATGGTTTTGTGGTCGCCATATTGGCTTTATCCGGCCTTCTGGGATTTTTTGCCGTAACCATGTTCATCACTTCCGCGCGATATGCGCTGCAGAACATGACAAACATCGACTACCTCAAGTCCAAAAACTTCGTACATAACCTCGCCATTCGGGTCCCGAGAGGCATCCAATCTTGTGAAAAGTACAAGGTCGTCACATATCCGATATCGAAATCCGGAGACTTGGCCACTCCATTACCTGGAGACGTCGGTGCAAGAGGCGTGGCCAATGAGAGGGATATGCTCGCAACGCGCACCTTTGCTGTCGTGAAAACCGAGCTGGGCGAGAACCCGTGGGATCTAGGCTTCTATCGAAACTGGAAATCCGTCATGGGCAACAGCATCATTGACTGGCTACTGCCCCTCAAGGACTCACCTTGCGCAACGTACGAGAACAATGAGAGCTTCTACGAAATGGGCCCCATATATCTGCGAGTGCGAGAAAGGTTCAGGCTTCCGCACCTAACCGACGACGAGAAGGGGTTTACCACATCGAAGAAAGAGTTGTCGTCGAAATCACAGGCCAAGGAGAGGAAACAAAAGAAGCAGGAGCAGGGATCACAGGACCGGGCCCATGGGTCGGCCAACTTGTGATCAACTTCAACTTATTAATCTAGATACCCCCTTCCATTTGTCTACGCTCTCTATTTACCATACTATTTTGGTTTCTGGACTTTTGCCGGCGCTCAGCGAAGGGCCCGGCGGTCATGTTTCTTTTACTTTTGATTAGATACTTTAATGCTGGCTTACGGTCGGCACTCATGTATGGTGTCGAACTGCTATTTCTCCGGGTATGAGCAGGTAGTGTTTCGAGGCTCTTTCTTCCTTTCACCAACGAAGTCAGGTACTGTTTCTATACAACTTCCCAGGAGACTCCCCTTTGTGGAAATCTCTGCAGTGACATTACCCTCTCTATCCACACGAATCATTTTTTTCTAGCCGGCCGAGCACAGTCCTTGTTGCTACCCATATTATGCAAAGTGGAAGTTCGATATCGTTGAACGTAAAGATCAGAAGCATAGCGCTTGTTGCAATTGCAATCATGCAGTGCCGCTGCTTGATTCCTACCTTACCGACTCCAATATGGTAAGCCCTGCGTACTTGATCTCAATAGCGTGATGCAACCCCAGTGGAACTCTGATAGACCAACCGAAGGAAATCCGAGTGCAATCTAGAGGACGAGTGATAACCGATGATAACAGAAAATGATGCATCGTGCGAACTGGTGGTATCGTAGGGTTCATTGCATCGTATAACCCCCACGTGTGGAACATATGGTAACTCAGTATGTATGCAGGTGGTGAGTTGTCATTTGGGTTCAAGTTCCCCATTCTCAGGTTGCGTAGAGATGAGTATCAGAGATCATTTGTCTGTAGTATCTCGTTCGTTCTTTCTCCAGGGCAGGACTAACGTCGCTCATCGAACGTGTGATGGACCATGCGCATTTGCTTGTAGACGATTGTATGTTCAAAGCACATACTTCTAGCCGCGACTTCGGCATAGTATAACTGGTTGAGATCCCTGTCGTCGTGATGCCGTGAGGTGGTGTTGATACGTGATGGTAGCCCAGGACTTCGAGTTTACCAAGACAAGAGCAGTCGGCAAGGTGCCTAGGTATCCCCGCGCGCAAGTCCCTACAACAATACATTAGATATCTTGAACGCAACATCGATAGGATCCGTTCATGTAACCCGCCTTCCCCCCTGCCCCCGCCCGCGCCTTACTAGGCGATGTAGGCATTGTCGTGTTTGGGCAGAATACTGTATTGTGGACCGTTCTGTTCTGCCACATCAACTTCAGGTCAGGTGTACATGTCTAGTGTATCTCGCATATGCGGGAAGGGGCCCTTTTGGACTGAAGGGTTGGGCTAAAACGCGGGATGACTTCGCGGCTCTGCATTTCATTTCGATGATCATTTACCATTAACCGTCCCCATCATTTACCACCTCTAGCTAACTGGAGTTGGCACAGCAGAGTCGTGACCTGCAGGGTGGGACTCCCGCACGTGGGGATCTCATCACTGATAGGCGCGGATGTACCTATCGAGTTACCCGCTGTGGGGGACCTCCCGGCTCGAACTTCCTCCGATCCTGTCAGCTTCCAAACAGTTTCCACAGGGCAGTCTGGACACTGGACTACGCGGCGATTCCCACCTTACCTTAGCGCGCTTTTGCTCCGTTCGACGTGACTTCGGCACTCTCACAACCACCCGTCGCGACGCCGTCTTCATGCGCCTCCGTCACCGATGAACGTCTCTCGGCCATCCGCGATCACCACGACTCTGACTGCCGTAGCCGGCCCGTCTTCATAGCCCGCCCGACCGAATGAAAATGACGACACCCTTGGCTGTCCATTCCGCCCATACGCTGCCATGTCGTCACCGCCCCATATGCAGTCCTTTCGCGACTTGTCTCCCGCGGGCGCTCCCGGCATGAAGCGTTCACGGTTCACGTATCGTCACATCCAGCAACTCGCTGCCTCGAGTACTTCGTGTCCGCTCAGGGTCATCGCTCACCTGGATCTCGATTGCTTCTACGCTCAGGTAGAAATGGTGCGACTAGGGATACCAGACGACAAGCCCGTTGCCGTTCAGCAATGGTAAACCCAGTCTCCAATCGTGCCCATTGGGCATTCTCTGACGTCAAACTGACCTTGTATAGGCAGGGATTGATTGCAGTCAACTATCCTGCTCGTAGCTTTGGCATCGGCCGGCATTGCAACGTGTCGGAAGCAAAAAAGCTCTGCCCGGATCTTATACACCAACACGTTGCAACATGGAGAGAAGGCGATGCCAAGTGGGATTACCACCCGGATGCCGCGGCCAACATGGCGACGCACAAAGTGTCCTTAGACCCTTACCGACTTGAATCCCGTAAGATTCTGGCTATCATCAAGGAAGAACTCCCACCTCATCTTCAAAAGGTGGAGAAAGCGAGCATCGATGAGCTGTTTATGGACCTCTCGGCACAGGTGCACACTATCCTGATCGAACGTTTTCCCGAGCTTGCCAACCCTCCCCCATACGATGACCCGACCGAGATGCTGCCCATGCCATCCATCACCGCTCTCGACTGGCAGGCTGATGCGCTGGTAGACCTGCCAGACGAAAATGCTGAACTTGAGGATCCGGACTGGGACGACGTGGCTATTCTTATAGGCTCGGAAATTGTGCGCAAGGTGCGGATAGCCATCAAAGATAAGCTTGGATACACGTGCTCCGCAGGTGTAGCCTGTAATAAGCTGTTGAGCAAGTTGGGCTCGGCCTACCGAAAGCCCAACCAACAGACGGTGCTTCGGAATCGTTCAATTCAACATTTTCTGTCCGACTTCAAGTTCACAAAGATGCGGAACCTTGGCGGCAAGCTGGGCGAACAAATCAGTCAGATGTTTCACACAGACACGGTCAAAGACTTGCTCAGTGCTTCGGTGGAGCAGCTAAAATCGAAGCTAGGCGATGACACAGGCGTTTGGGTCTACAACACCGTGCGTGGGATCGATACCAGCGAGGTAAACCCGCGCGTCCACATCAAGTCAATGCTGTCGGCCAAGTCCTTCCGTCCCAGTATAACCTCCTTCGAGCAGGCTGTTAGATGGCTGCGCATTTTTGCCGCTGACATTTTTTCCCGGTTGGTCGAAGAAGGCGTTTTGGAAAACAAGCGGAGGCCTAAGACCATCAATCTTCATCACCGTCACGGTACTCAAACCCGGTCACGTCAGGGTCCTATCCCTCAAGGCCGTAAGCTCGACGAAGAGAGTTTGCTAGAGCTGGCCAGGAACCTGTTAAGCCAGATTGTTTCCGAGGGTCAAGTTTGGCCATGTTCCAACCTCGGCCTTAGCGTTGGAGGATTTGAGGATGGTGTTACTGGAAACATGGGCATCGGCGCTTTCTTGTTGAAGGGCGAGGAGGCCCAGGCAAGCAAGATGGCGTCAGGGACAGCGACGGTTGACTCTGAAATCGAGATCCGCCCGGCAGAGAAGCGAAGGCGCCTGGATAACGGCGGGATAGAACGGTTTTTCGCAAAGAGAGAGTTATCCCACGGCGCTAATTCTGGGTTGGGCTCCGACGATACGGCCATCAGTGGTCAAAGCGGTCAAAGGTTGGGCACACTGAAAGAGGAGGTCATGTCAGGTGAGCCGGCCGGTTCAGAGGGGGTGGGCAAAGGCGATGAGGTATATAACGGGAAGTCTGAATCAGAACCCGGCCCAATCATCACATTGACGTGCTCGCGATGCAACGCCAGCCTCGATAGCCCCGAGGAACTGCAAAGCCATCAGGACTGGCATTTTGCCAAAGAGCTCCAAGAACAAGAACGTGTCAGCCAGACATTCGTCAATCAGCCATCAGCGTCTAGCTCGCGTGCCGGCAATCCAAAATCCACAAGCACGACGCCGAAGCGACAAGGTAGACCGAAGAAGGTCGAGCGCGGGCAAAGCAAACTCAAGTTCGGTTGAACAGACTATCGTGATTTTCATGACACGATGCCCTGAAACCGGCAAAGTGACATGAGCGCACAGGTGGAGAATTCAATGCATGAATCCACAACACGACGCTTGATATCAAAAGGTGCCTCTGACCGAGCTATTCAAGATTGCACATGCAGTCTTTGTGGAGGACGGTTTGCTCTTCAGATTCGCTGCAGGTGTTCGTCTTCAGCTGCGCGACGGGATTGACTACGGCATCTCACCAAAGTCTGCGTTCTGGCGGTGACCGAGAATCCAGGGACAAACCAATCAATGCTTGCACAGATCCACGATTCCCTTCTGGCAGTTAATGGGTGGTAACGGGTCGGCAGTCTCACTTCCGAAAATCTCGTGAAGCACATTTTCTTGCTACATGGCAGCCGAATTTATGGGGAGGCTATCAAGCTCCTATACTCGTTGGAACCGCCCCCCCCCCCCGGAAGATAAAACTTCAATCTGCGCGCAACGAGTTGAGCTCGTGAGTGTTGCTGCTCGATTTCCTGACAGGTCACTGAGAGACTTGTAAGTTTAAGGGACTTCCACGAAAGCATCGGGAGATTGTTATGGCAAACATGAACCACGACGGAAGCAAGAAAGCTCCAGACAAACGGACAGAAAGTGTCGTCAATGTCTGTCTCTGATTTGGCGGCCAGATGCTCGTCATGATCGGGGCCCTGTATGACAAACTGGCGGAGACGGCATGTGCCCCTTTGGTTGGTACATCAAAATAAAAATACGACGCAGGAGCATGTTCTGCACTAGGGTTACTTGCCGATGTGGGAGGAAAAGATCAATTCGGCCATGATAGCTAGGGGCAGTGAGCGTGCTCAGAGCCAAACGGTCGCCTTGTTGTCGAGCTTACACCCTCACCAACCGAAGCGTCGGACAAAGCTGATTGGCTGCGGGGAGACCCCATCTCATGCGGCAGCTTGCGGCGTTGCAGAAAGGTTGGGCTTCCAGACTTCCAGACGCATTGATACCCGATTGTTGCCAGAACCCGCCCGTTCCCAGATCCATTGCTTCCCCAACGCGTCTCCATCACGAAGCCCACTAGAAAGTATCTTCACACAGCCTTTCACTAGCCCAATCTGTCTTAAATGCATTTCAACCCGCGTGGAAGAAGCTACGGCATGGGCATAGGTCATAATTCCACATACGACGTCGGCGACCCATTGGTATGAGGAAACCATGTCGGATGCTCGAAATGATTTCTTGAATTCTTGTACTCACACATGTCACGGCGACGAAGCGACTCTTTCATCCATGTGCCACCTTCAGCCCATCAGCCAGCACTGTCTGGCGTCTGGCCCCGACCCTTCAGCTTTCGATATGTAATCACATTGGTTGTCCATCTCTTGCCAACCATCACCATAGGCTTGCCGCCTAAATATTGAGTGCCATATGGCAGTGACTTTGCGAAGACCGCCTCGATTCTACGCAAGACATCCAGGCCCGTCGGTAGACGACCTCATGGCACCACACAGTAGTAGACATTTGAGGTCGTTTTGTTCCTTATGTATAAATCCGAAATGTCTTCAATTAACACCAACATTTGTGGTATGATTTTCTCAACGAATGGCTTTATTGATTCCGTCTGAAGTCAGGCCTTCATTGTCCCCACATTCAGTTTATCTTTGCGCACCCGGTCGAGCTCATGTTTTGCGCCCTTGACGCCCAAACGGGTCACCGAATACCCACTACCAAAACAGCGGCCTTCCTTGCGTTCACCTTGACGCTGGAAAATCTTTACAGTATGTATGGCGTTGGCAGCGCTCTGTGTCCATTTCTTTCTTGACTGGTGCGAGTTACCACCGAGGGTTGACGCCTGCGGTTGATTAATTGGCACCCACACCTCCGCGTGCGATTGTGGCGTTTCCACAACAACCCACACAGCCAATAATGGAAGTCAAAAAACAACGCCAGCCTCATCACCAGGTTTGACTTCTGACTGTTTGCACTACTTGGTAATTGGCACTGGGGTCTCCAGTCTGGAAGGCCGATTGTTGACACCTATAATCCCTCAAGGCGCAAAGCGCACTCTGGCAGGTGACGGCGTCTAGTAGGGTCGCTCCTAGGTACCAAGTGCACCTTTTCCGCCAATGTATAGTGTAGCAGGTTAACGACTCCATTATCACCTGTCGACAATGGGCAAAGGTTGACTTTCGACCTGAAGCGATTTCAAGCATACCTTCCACTCCACAGACTTACAGCCCAACGCTTGCCAATCTTCACACCGCAATTTTTTTCTCTCTCCTGAGCCTGTACGCCTTTGTGTCTTCCATCAGCACTGGCATCGTCCATTGCTCCATCCGCCCTCCCCCGTCCTTGGGCTATCTCGAGTCGTTTTTCAGTGGTTGGCAGGACTGCCTCTTTCGCTTGCTGCAGCCCCTAAAGGCAGTAGCCCACATCGAGTCCCTAGAGCCAACCAATGTCTCCCACGCCTCTCTCCCGAGGTCGTCCTGGCCGGTGAAGAAAAGGAGAAAGGAAAAAAAAGGGAGGGCACGGTTGTATAAGATAAGCTGTTTGTCATATCGTTTCACTGGCTGTCCATGTGCACAAACTGCTTTTCCTATCAAGCCTCACTTTGACGTCGTGGTTTGCTGTGCTCGGCTGTGCTTGGCCACATCTGTTAAAGATGACTCGGCCGACCTGTTGGCCAGGTATGGCTGCCATCTATCCAAGCCATCATTCACCATTCAGCATTCGTACTGTCGTCGTCGTTTTAGGCCACGCTGCTGTGGCGACTATAAGTTCAACGATACATTAGCGTAACGCGCTCCCATTGGCAGACACCGGGTCCCTACCGCCATGTATCCAGAAAACCAACCCTGGGTGGGACCTCCTGGTGCTGCCTCCCGACCTTCTCAAGCCCCTCACTCTATCCTTGAAGTTGCTGTCAACCCCCATCCCATCTGCAAGGCATTCCGTATTCTGGCCGATCTGGTTGCTGTCAGTCAGCTTCTCGTCCGCTCTTTTTGGCTCCTGTTCCTGCTGCTTGTGCTCGTTGTCAGCAGATGCCCCTGCTGCCCTGCGGATGCCCTGCGGATTCCGTGCCCCATTCTCCATCAGAGTTCGGCCTAGTGTCACCCACAATTCTCCATTCCCCATTCTCCATTCCGAATCTGTTCTCGCTGTTGACGAGCGAGACGCCGAGAGACGCAGGAGAGGACCCGATGCCTAGGCTCGCATCGCATTTGCACCAGCAAGCAGCAAGCACAAAACTCAGGTACAGACCGCGGAGCAGCAGTGTCCTTACAGAAAGGTTCCTCGTGTGCTCGCCAGGTCTGGCTGGCTGGGTAGTGTAGCTTCCCCTTAGGTATTAGCCTTGTCTAACTGCCTGCCCAACGTGTTACATACATAGGACGAGGTGACGGGGGTGCGGACACACTCTCTCCAGCGTACGGCACACATATAGACTACGTACAAGAGCCAGACCAGCAGAGAGTCACTCGTGTTGCCCTTGCAGGCCCGCTGTCGTCAAGCTCAGCGCGGATTTACAGTGTAAGCCGGCCAATGTAGTCACCTCCACTCACCCATTTTTCCTGTCTTTTTCCCGCCTGTCCACGGGTTGTTCGCTCCGGTTACCTCTTGACATACATACAGCCCAGGGTTGAGGATACCTGCTAGACGTACCGCTCTGCCAGGCCCAGCCAAGTTGCCAGGAGTGCCTCACAAGTTCTTCCATCCCACCCACGCAACCACGACGGCCCACTTTGGCACAACCTAAACTCAGCCAGGCGTCCATTTCTTCCCGGCCTCCCCTCTTTCTCGTTCATCCCTTCTTCCCAAAATTCGGTCTCTTTCTCCCCTGCCTGCTGTCCCATCATCGGCCCGCACTTGCAACGTCCTTTTTCTCACCTCACGTCCATAGCTCTTATACACAACGCCGTTTCGATCGCCGATTTTTTATCTCTTTGGACCTACATCATCCTCTTGTCTTGCTCTTCGCACCACCACGCCCTTTCCGCAATCACCATGGCGGCAAGACCGGGCAACAGGCCAGCTCAGGCCCCTCAGCCCTCGACTGCGCGCCAGAACGAATACTTCGTGCCCCGCGACGGTATCGACCGCGAAGTCATCACCTCCGACATTTGCAGATACCTCGGAAACGATGCACTTGTACGCCCTGGAACTTACGAGGTACGCCCCTTCGACCGAGAATTTCTTTTCTCTTCGGCCTCACCCATTTGAGCGTAGTATTGTGAGGAACTGTCACTTACAGCTGCTCGCCTCATAGTCACCAGACGGCCGTGTGACCCAAGGCTACTTCATCACCGCCTATCGCAATCTGACATCGGTGAGTCCTCGCAGCCAGCTCGCGCACAAGCTTGCGCGTTGGCAAAGACTTGAAGCTGAACAAGGTGGCTCTGCAGGCGATGATTCAAGACCTAAAGGCCGACTCTGCTCGATGGGAGCAAGAGAGACGTGCTGCGTCCAGGTCAGGTGGTGGCACTGGAGGTACAACACACTCTAGCCAGCACAATGGCTCAACGTTTGTGAGAAGCTCTAACTCGCCCACAGGCCAGCGCGAGCAGAACCGTGGGTCCTCTGATTACAGCACATGGAAAAACCGCCAACGGGAACAGGAACACTACGATGCCTACGCCAGGGACAATGCCATGGATGTTGACTATCCCCCACAGCCTAGCGCCCCCAAGAACCCGGTTTATCCTCCGCCGAATGCGTACCCAGGGCCACCACAGCCAGGTCCTCCTACTTATCCGCCCGTTTCGTATACTCCCCAGGCTGCTGGCATTCCAGCACAGTATCCTCCCCAGGCGTACCCTCCTTACCCGACCAATCCTCCCGCTCCGCAGTACTCGCCCGGACCTCCCAATACCGGAGATAGATACCCTGGCATGGCGGCCCCTCCTCCTATGCCGACTGGCGGCTATGGACAAGTTGGACAGGAAGCTTCCTACGTGATGGGCTCAGATTATCGGACACAGCCGAATTATGTGACGTCGGAGCCTCCAAGGATGCCGCCTCACCCTGCGATCTCTTCTGCTGCCCCTGTCAGGCCAATGTATACTCCCACCAATGGCGCCCCTGGTTATCCACCAGCCCCGGATCAGTACTATGGTGCGCCGATTCCTGGAAGTTCGGCCACTCAGGCTTATTCAGCCGATCCTCTGTATGGCCGTGGTGGTGCGTATAATGTGGCAACAACGAACCCAGCGCAGGCTTCATCTGATAATCTAGGCTCCCCCGCAGGTCCAACGCCAACACGGCAAGGGTACGGTCACATTCCAGAGCCCCCGTTTGATAACCATCAGCCTCCTGTGCTCTCACAGGTCCCCACGTCAAACAGTAGTACACCGGCCCAAATGGCAAACAGCGGGCCGTCACCTGCCCCACGCCGGAGTCCCGGTCGCGACTCGGAGCCCAGGGAACGAGAACGGGAACAACACCGCAATCGCCGCCCGGAGCAGGAACGTGACGACAGAGATCGTGCCAGGCACCGGCAAATCCGCTAATTGCTAGCGACACGCAGGTCTTTTTGACTTTGACGGCCCTAGACCTGCCCGTCGCGAGACGTTGGAGGTCTTATGGGCTGTTATTAATGCTTTGCTAATACCTCGGAACCCGGAGTTCTCTATTATTTCTGTTTCATTGTCTCATACCAGGATCCCGGTTACTTTCGGCCTGATAATGATCTGATCCACGGATAGACCTAGGAGAAAAAAGAGGTGCGCGGAAACCTCGAGAGCTGCAAGTTGCATCTCTGGAAGTTTGGATCTTGACTCTGCTCCGGCGGCTCGACTTTGATACAGCAACACCATTCCCACGGTACTTGCATCCCTGGATTATCGGCATTTCTGTCCTTGGTTTTACCAGAACACGGATTCTCTGGTGCCTATCAAACATCTGGACTATGGCACCTTGCAGACAGCTGCCGCATTGGACGGTGGTGCTGTCGCTCGAGTTTACTTTTCGATTAATGTTACGGGTTGTGTGATTTCTTTTTTTTCCTTTTTTTTCCTAATTTCCTTTTCTGTTCTCGCTTCGAGGACGATATGGAGAGATGCATTATACCACGGACCGGGAAACTTCACTGGATTTGGGAAAAATTGAAGAGCGGCTCGAGGTTCTGGCGTCTTTGTGTGTAGTGGATATCGGCCTCTCCTTGCTGTCCGGGATGGCTCTCGGGATAACGTCCTCGTCCTCCGCTCGAGGCGTTTGCGTCTAAACCTTGAAGCCATTCCACCCCGGGATTAGGAGTCTTCCTCGCTAACAATCTCTCCGAGTCCTGAAAACGGATTCGCCTCTTCACCGACCGGAAGATTTAAGCCATGGACGGACAGCAAGGTGAGTAAGCCTCTGGAAGAGTGTATATATCAATTGACCCCTCGGACCGAAATACGGTACTCCAATTTCTGCCCACGGCTTGCAACTCTGATCTGGACAGCCTCATGTTCCGTTTTCAAGATAACTAACTGGACACAGCTTGAATCAAAGAAACATTGTTCTTTTCTCATCTTTCTTTTCTTGGAACTTCCACTTGGATCAACCACAATTGGCCGCACACACCGGATTTTCCAGGTTCTCATTCGAGCAATGGCACCCAAGCTCGCCCAGGAATTGCCACTGGTCTGATTTGGAACGGTGTTGCTGGTTTTGGCCCGACTGTTTCCGTGGACCTTCTGGATTGCTTTTCGCTTTTGGCTTGCTAGAACGGCCAGGCTCATATTCTAACGCGTCTTGACCCGTCCCTGGAATCACGAGCTGTCTAATGAGACGCTTATTACGGACATACAAGAGGTATGTCGACAAGATACCACCAGAACCGCGGATGGCCCATCAATGGAAGTGTGGCAGCAGCAACGACAACTGCCAATGACAATGGACCGACCATGCCATGTAGTGTTTCTCAACTCGACTGCCCAGATGGAGGTCGCTATCTCCGCCAATACCAGTTCAATGATGGCTATTTTCTCTTCATTCCTGTTGACTCACTGGGAACCGGCATTCAACCTTGTGCGCTACATAAACTGCGAAAATGGCATCGAATATCAGTCGGCTGGCCTCACAAAGCTTCCTAAACTCGGGACACGATGATGTCCGTCTTGCAGCGCTCGACATAGCTCTCTAGTCTGTTGGATTTCTTCGGTACTACGGTAATTGTCCATGTCTTCAGGAGCCTTCGCGGAAAAATGTGGTATGGAAACAGAGACGTAATCCCGGGTTGCATCTAGGTCCCTCGTTCACTGCCAGTTGGGTAGCCGGTTTGCCTTGTTACCACTGCATCATCATCAGAACATTCAGCAGCCAGTACCGACTGGTGGCGATGGTCATTTTTGTCGAAGCAACGAATTGTGGTCAACTATCACCAGGGTTCGCACACGTGAGATGAGCATCTCCAAGGGACGATCATCTGTTAGTCAAGCCTTTTTCTCTCGGCGTCATCCCACCCACTCTCTTGCCTCTATTCGTCCAATAGGTACTGGTTCCCGTCCTCTCGGAAGGTGAGCCTAAAGCTAACAAGCCCACACAGAAATTGGGTTAATAGGTTTCATCTCACTTTATACCTCATATATTTAGCATATAGTTCGGGCGTACTGGTCTCCTATCTGTCATCTGAAGTTCAAGGTCATATGTATCTACTATATAATCTATCCGTTTTGGGTTCGGCATTGGGAGGAAAAACTGAATGAGGGCCGCACGGTTTTGGTTACCGAGTCTCAGGTACAATTTTGGAGCTTGTATTGAGAGGTAGAGTCAATGAAGGGATTCACAATTTTTTATTTCGAAAACACGTTTCACAGGCAGGCGCTAAGAGGTTCCCCCTTGACATGTAAACATGGTCCTATGTAAAATAGAAAGCACGGAGTCCGCTTATATCCGTACTGCCCTCCTCGCAGATCTCTGGCCCTAGAAACTTGGCTGGTGGGCTTTCCTGCAAAACAGAGGCGGTTGGGGAGACGCAGGGGAAAATGAAAACGTGCAAGTCGGCATGTGGTTTTTGTTTTGCTTATTGCTGGGGGTTTGCATGGAGCAATTCAGGCGCAGGCGCCAGGCACACACATATTGTGGCGTACTGTAGGTATGAAGTAGTGTAATGCTTTTTTTTTTTCCAAGTGAGCCACTCAGTCTACCTGGACTGCCCTGTTCTGTTGTTCAAACTGTACGAGGATCCGATGCCGGCACTTTGGCAAGCATGATTCAAAGACTCACACCTATGCTACTAAAGAGGATCAGCTTGTAAGGGCACCAATTAAGTCCAAGCGACGTGGAAAAGGGAGGAAGAAGAAGTGCAGTGAGATGGTGGGGTGGCTGGTGAATGGGTCGGTTAATTACGGCCAGTGGTGACCGCTTTTGCGGCATGGCTTTGGCTGCTTTGCACCGGCAATAAACGTGCCATAATCAACCCATAGCAGTGTTGTGTTCTTGTCGATATCAGATGTCTACCGTAGTGCAGGAAGCGGCACTGGCATGGCACGCCGGTCTTTGCATGCTGGGCGGATGGCCCCGGTGCAGCCGCCGACGGGAACGTCCAGTGCCCCTCAGTCATCAAGATGAATGGCTGACCGACCTGCTCAGCAAAAGAGATTTGGTGTCTCTTTCCCGGCCTCTTTCACAACACGAAACAAAGCTCACACAAGGAGCATACACTACTAGTAAGTAGTAAAAGCTTCAAGTTGGGATTTGAGACACAATGTGGGTTCATTAGTACTGTGTGGGTTTCCTGGTGGGGCGTCAAAATATTGTAGCGTGCAAACCATAAGAGGTCAACCCGTTTGGCGATATGAATGCCCATGATGGCTTCACTCTTCAAAGCACGACTTTTCCTTTACCTGGAAAGAAAGGCGGTAAAGGTCCAAACAATGGCGATGGCAGTGCAATGTTATGTTCAGGCCCCATTACTTGGGGTTAACAATTAGCAATGACAAACGGATGCTTTCATCATTCTCAACAGGCAGACTTCAAGGAGGAACCCAAAGCCCGGCTGAGCAACGAGGACCCTCCTGGTCTGCCAACCAGTATAAAACTTGTAAACCAGATAGGTTCCTGTTAGCGTCCAAACTACTGGAAAAGACCAAGCTGACGGCCCTCCCTTCCATCCCGTTTTAGTATGGAGAATGTTCCTGGGCCTGGGGTCCCTCCACCGCACCAGTTGACAAACCCGTGATTGTGACGGCCCGCACAGACAACTGAACGAACCTTCGCTGGCTGGTCGAACGAGAGATGCCCGTGCTCTGGTTGTTTGCCTAGATAGAGGTAGAGATTACAGGTTAGCCGACGTGATGCCCTTTCGCCCCTCATGCTTCAGTTTTAATGCGTCTGGTAGAGACGTGCGTTTTCTGTAGTGTAGGGGCGATATGTTCACGGCATTAACCCCGACACCTATAACCCGGACGGCGTGCTGACAAGGCCCCGCCCAGCAGCGATTTTCACGGCAGCCGATTCGTCGTCTCCCGCACTCAAGCCAAAAAGGTATCAGGTTCAAAGCGTCTCCAGGAGCAGCGATGCCACGAGGGACCAGCTTGTGGCCCAAATATTTTTTTTTACGCTAGCGGGTTGGCAAGACTGTGCACGCCCCTCAACCGCAACAACTTCAACCCCGTCTCCGGCTTTTTGTTTTGGGAATTTGTTGCCTGCCACCAATACCCCCCATCTACGCACTCGCCCTCCCCGGATAGGTGTGTCCGTGTTGATGCGAGAGTCCGCCAGAATTTGACCGTCAACGAAGTCACCTCAAGATGGATGCGAACGCCATTCGAAGTTGCATCGTCGCGACCCTCGACGCCGATGCCGACGTTCGTCGGAGGGCTGAACTCCAGCTCAAGCAGGTGCGTGTGTAGCCGTTCATCATCATCTTCATCATCATCAACCGCCGTCCTCCCACCACCTCGGCCGAGACTCCGGCCCTTCAGCGCAAACAGCCCTAGTCCAACTACGAGCCCGAGATTGTTGTTCCATGGCCGCGTGCCTCGCACACAACAACCTCATCCCAGATAGCAACGTCCCGTGGCCGTCGCCGTCGCCGTGTGCTTTTCCCGCCCAGCCGTCCGCGCTTGCTATCCATATCACCAGCACACCCTCGACTTCCGTTCACCACCCCGCCCGCTTCCGGGTGGACATGAAACTACGGAAAACAGGAGCGCCGCTGACATCAAGTCTTCTCTGCAGGCCGAGCAACAAGTCGGTTTCACCGATGTCCTCTTGGACCTCCTCCAGACAGAGCAGGATGTGAACCTGAAACTTTCAAGTATGCCTTGCCAGTTCGATTCCCTTCGCGGGCTTCCATAACCCATTCAGCCCTTGCTTCATTCCTTCTACGCTTGGTGCAAGCGCTCACCCCTTTCTAGCCGTTATCTACCTCAAGAACCGAGTCAACCGCGCCTGGCAGCGCTCCGACGACTACCCGCAAGAGGCGGTTTTGGACGAAGACGCCAAGGCACGCTTCCGTGACCGGTTACTGCCCATTCTCGCCAGCTCCGAGACTCTGGTCCGCCACCAGCTGGTCCCCATTTTACAGCGCGTCTTGCACCACGACTTTCCCGAAAAATGGCCGACCTTCATGGATTACACCGTTCAGTTGCTCAACACCAACAACGCCCCCTCTGTCCTGGCTGGCCTGCAATGTTTGCTCGCTATCTGCCGTTCGTTCCGCTATAAGATGAGCGATACCGATCACCGTGCGCAATTCGAAAAGATTGTCGAAGTCAGCTTCCCGAGACTGTTGGCCGTCTGTGATGAGTTGGTAAACCAGGATAGTGGGGAGGCTGGCGAGATGTTACACATTGCTCTCAAGGCGTACAAGCATACTGCCTGGGTGAGTTTCTATATCTACCGGAAACACGGTAATGGGATGATTAGCTGACTGAGCCACTATAGCTTGAACTCCCTGCCTGCCTCCGCGAGCAGTCCGTCAATCTCGGATGGTGCACCATCTTCCTTCGTACTGTATCGAAGCCAATTCCTGCGAGCGCTATGCAGGACGACCCGTTGGGACGTGAACGCCATCATTGGTGGAAGGCAAAGAAGTGGGCATACTTCAACCTAAACAGGCTATATATCAGGTAAGTGGTTATGGTGTCGCATCTCCCAAGTTCTACCGGGTGCGCGACTCCGAGGCTGACCCCGCCATAGATACGGTAACCCTCACAACATCATGGAAAAGGGAGCCGATGGTCAGTTGCTCCAATTCGCCAAGAACTTTATCGCCCAAGTCGCTCCCGAAATCCTCAAGCACTACCTTGCCGAGATCGAGAAGTGGGTAGCCAAGACCGTCTGGCTGAGCCGGCCGTGCTTGTCGTACACTCTTGTCTTCCTGGACGAGTGCATTCGTCCCAAGGAGATGTGGACACATCTGAAGCCTCACCTTACTAATTTGGTCACTCATTTCATTTTCCCTGTTCTCTGCCTTTCGGAAGAGGACGTGGAAAACTTTGAGGAGGAACCGG